CGGTGCGTGTTGTGTGTGAGTGGAAGTGTGGGTAGGGGGGGGGTGTGTGTGTGTGTGTGTGTGTGTCACAATCACACTTCCTCTCAAGTCACGTAAGATAAATTAAAAGAGGAAAGAAAAAAAGGGGGATGTTAAATTCTTTGGGTTAAGAAAATCCCAGCGAGAGTCGGGGAGGGAGGGAAGTGGAGAGAGGAGAGGAGAGAGGTTTGGTGAGGAAAGGGAGGAGGACAACGAGAGATCCGACGGACAGACAGGAGAAGAGAGAAGAGGAGAGGAGAAAAGAGGAGCAAAACCAGTAGCTTAAAAAAAATTGAACAACCAGCAAGATGAGTAAAAAGAGAGAGGTATGAACGCGAAGAGGGAGATTGAGAACGTCGAGGAAGTCGCTGTAAGTAGGAATAGTTCGTCGCAATAATAATCCTTGAAAGAAATAATAATAAATAAAATAATAAATTATCGTGGTCAGTTTCGCAAGCAAAAAAGACCAGCAGCAGCAAGTAGCAGCAAAGCAAGTTAAGCTGCAGCGCAGCAGCAGCAGCAGCAGCAACAGCAAGCAGATCTGGTATGTAATAGGAATACTCCCGAGTAGGTAACAATGGGGAGAATTTATCGTGAAAAGTCGCAAAAAGGAACCACTCTTCTGCTGCGGTTGATATTCGTACCGCTTTTACATACTCTATACAACCACTACTAATACTTGTACACTTACTACTAGTAGATAGCGAATAACTGACTTGCCTGACTGACTTTGCTGCTTCTATTCTTACCGCTTCTACTAACTAGATACCTACTGAAGAGTGCCGTGACTGACGATGGACCACGTACCTATAGTAGTAAACACTAACTACGGAGTACTTCCTCCAGCAAGACCAATGGGTTAGTTAGTTAGTAGTAGTAGCAGTAACTATAACAGTCAGATACCAACACACACAGTATTGCCATGCTAGGAAATGGACACTAATCCACCACAATTTATGCGACAGTTAGAGCTGGTCGCGGGGCTAATCACAGCCCTGCCTCGAGTGAATTAGGCGGGTAGCAGGGGGAAGCCGGTAACATACCGATTCCCATAATTACCCAGAGGGTACATGCCTGCTGTACTTTTGGGCAGGAAATTCACCCGGATTTGGTATGGGAGGTACAAACAGAGTACGGAGTGGTACCTCGGTGGGCTCGGTCTTACCCAGTTGGGGATTAGCGGCACCACACTAAAAGTGGGAAGACTCGTGGCCGCCACTGGAATGATAATCACCGTATTCCTGGGTACGGGGGGAGGCAAGAAATGTAAAAAAAGAGAGGCAAAAAAACCAGAGACACAACAGGCAGGAAAAATGAAGATGTAGGCTAAGAAAAAGACACATGAATAACTATGTAGAGTGACAGAAAAGCCCAATCCCATTGAGACAACTAACCCCATCTACCAAACAGATACTACATCATAACACCTCACAACTACGTAAACAAGCGACTAAAAAAGAACAAAAAGATATCTGTCTCTCACTCTGACTCTCACTCTTACTACTTCTTGTCTCTCTGGCCATCAAATCAAAGCCGCCAGATGATTGTTTCGGTGAAGGGCCTCCGTTCGGACTGGCGTCCCGTGGTTGGTGGGCGCCGCTGCCCTTTTAGGGGTTCGTCTTGTTCCTTTCTCAGCAGTGGTTCGGTTAGTGACTGTCGGACCCAGCATTTCACGCCCCTTGGTTCGCCGCTGCCCTCCTTAGCGGGAACCCAAATCCCCTGAAGGGGGGGGGCCACTCATCACCGCCAACGAGGTGTCGCTCTCGGAGGAATGGCGATGATCCTCATCATCCACCGCTAGTAGTATGACGATGATCCATGGCCGATGATGTAGAGGCATGATGCTGCTGAGGTTGGATGGCCCTCTTACAATGTGATTTTTTGGTTTTCCTTCCCTCCTATCCCTTCCCTTCTTCTGGTTCTTCTTCTTCTTGTTGTTCTTATTGTTGCCACGGATCAATCAACACTCGCCAACATTAACAGGACGGCTCGTCTTTTCCACTTTCCCACCCCCCTCCCCTGGCACGAAAGTCACCGAATTTTGCATGGCTCCATAGCGAAGCGAACCTTTCATTTTCTCCATTCCTCCTTAGCTCCTCCTAGCAATTGCCGAGGCGGCGGCGGATCATTAAGCCACAAAAAGGGCATAAGAGTGTATCAGTACGTCAAATGGGGCGATAATAGTCAGTCAGTCGGACCTAGTCAAAACGTTCTCATCAGGTCTTCAGGGGAGGTCATGCAACGTCGATCGAGCCATCGGATTCGTGGCTTTGCCTCCATCGCCGCAAGACGGGGTCAGGATCAATATCGGAATGCTTCGCTCGACCTTTCTCTCATCGTGCCTCCCGCTACCCTGACTAGTGCCACTGATAATGCACCTAGACGGTACTACAACCGGAGGTATCTCCCCCCTCAGTTACGACCAAAAGTCTTGTAATTGCCACCACTAGTGGTTTTTGCCTGCCTTAGACGAGATTCCAAAAAAAGCACATCTATCGTCTGCCTGCAGCAATAGGAAAAACGATGCATCTGTATATGGAGGAGTTGTACTTTGTGCTGGATGATCATGTATCGTCCTTTTAGTCCCAACCCCCCCAATCTGGTAGTGGAAGTGGCTTGCGTACTTTTCCTTCTCTGGTCGGATTTTAAGCTCCACCACAAAGAAAGTCAACGGCTTGGGGCAGGACGATCCATTCCCGCGGGTTCGACACACCTTCTGACGGATCATGGCTGGGAGCGAGTGGGAGCGAGTGGGAGTGAGCAGCCAAAGCAGAACCAGGAAAGGATGTGCAGGCTGCCGATCCATCTCTCCCCATCCATCGCGCTTCGGGAACATGTGTCCATCGGAACATCGAATCACAGGGTTGATAATGTGACGAAAGTTGATTCAGATTTTCCCTTTTTCTTTTTTTGCCCCTGGGCTGTATGGGGTACCCCGTATGGCGCCTTCTTAACATAACACTACTAAATGGCTGGAGCCATGTATGCATTCATTCACCTACCGCGCGACAGGGATAGGATGGCTTCCGCGCATTGCCATTCGTCAGTGCTTTGAGAATTGGTGGGCAAGTGTGAGTTAAAATTCTCCAGCCCGGCTAGGAATGGACGAAGGAAGCTTTCCGACGGTCGTGCGATGAAACTAAGAATAATGATGATAATGGTAATAAAATAACACACAGATACGGGACCCGAGATGGTGGAAATTAAACCTCAATAGAAGAAAATGCCCGACCATGGGTGAGGCTTCGGGGAAGACGCGCGCAAAATTTTCTTTCGCAGCTTTAAGGTCTTTGCGCGCGCTGACCGTCGCCGCTCACCGTGGTTCATCCTCGGGGCAACTTCAACTATGACGGGTGAGAACGTCATGAAAGTTCCTCTCATTGGACCTGTCTGTTGCCATTGCTCGTCTTGTTTGATACTTTGATTGAAATTTTGGAGCATGTCTCTTCTTGTCCACCCCCTTTGGCGGATGGTACTTTCACTTCCCCGTGCTGCAATGTACCTGACTGGCTGAATGCAAGGCTCAGCCCCGGAAGCTCTGACAAAGTACGGAGAAGTCGGGCGCTATCAGCACCAAGACACACAGGTCCCATCGATCTGATGAATGCAACTGAAACAAGTTAACGTCACAGGCGGAGCGACTAGTTATCTCGTAGGTTCTATCAAAGAACCACCAGCACCAGAGAGATCGCATCTCAGCTCGACCGCTAGTACAATCGTGGCGAATTTGCAGCAAGGCGCTGCAGTTGCATACATGAGCCCCAACGGACGATGTCCGGAACGTTCCCCGGCGGCTACATTAGTTGCGCTGGGTCGGCGAAAACATTGCAAAGGCGATGTTCCGCGTCCTACTGGATGAGAAGCTCATCGCGAAGGTTGGTAGCTTGGTACGCTATACCATGGAGCTATTCCTCACTCCTCGCTAGACGCGTTTTTTTCCCTATGAATCCGGTTATCAACACGAGGTCGAGCAGACCTGCAGGATGAGCCCCCAACTGCAATTGAGCAGCAAGTGAGCGAGCTCCGTTTTCGATGGAGGGGATGCATTCACCGGGGAGCGTTGAACAACAGAGTGCAAACTAGCCAGTGGAAAGCGTTCCTTGACCCCCGCATTGGTGCATGCAGTCGCGCTCCCCACTCAGCAAAGAGAGCGCGCGCGAAAGAGCTTGTGACCGGATGGGACCACGGCCGAACCCTTTCCTTTCCTTTTTCTCCCTTTGGGTCCTGACTTATGACAGTTGTCCACTGCCCGATGAGGATTGGGAGTAGACTTCCGCCGTATGAAGATGGAGGCAGATGAGGAGGCTCAACATGGAATCGGCAGCCGATTCAGGTAGGTAAGCACGTCAGTCCGACAGTGGTAGTAGAGGGGGGCCACCTAAGCAAGTAAGGCTAAGTCTCAGTCAGTCAGAGTTAGTTACTGTGAATTCAGTAGTGTAGTAGCCTAGGGAGGGGGGAAAAGCCCGTGACCTCATAGTGGACAAGCAGGCACCCAACTTGCAATGAAGCATCCTCTCTGGCAGCTCTTCGAAGCGACGGGTGAAACCGAGAGAAGCGAGGATTCCCCGAAATATTACCATACATACAGAAGGAGAATACCAATGATTACGAGGACGTAAGGGTACCACGACCGGGCGGCCGCGTGACTGCCTTCTTGCTCCACTCGCCCATTCCATGGTTGACGGCCAGCATTATTATTCTTAGTTCCTGCCTACTACCCGCTTACTATCGTCTATCTACCCTACCTGTCTATTCATTTGTTCCCTTCTTTCTCTCATTCATGACTATGTAAATACCACATACTTGCAACCCCACGGCATCCCAACGGGAATCACCTTGTCCGAGCTGTCCTCGCAAGTCAGACACTTGGCTCTTACCCCCCCGTCCAGTGTCCACTTTCCGGACGAGCTCCAATGAGCCCAGTGAAGGTCAATGCCACCCTGGCGAGTGACGATAAAGAACTGCCGATCTGGGATCGGCTAGTGGCTGAGGGGATTCTCCGCTAATAAGGACACTGCTGAGTGCTAAGACTCCCAGCAAGCACCAACAGTCATGATGCCAACCCGAATTCGGTTCTACCTGGCTTGATGCCTTTACCCGATCATTTGATGTCGAGGCACGATGATGAAGGATCATCGCGACCCTGACACATAACCCTCCGTCTCCATACCTGCTCAGATGTTGTTCAATGCTCTCACACGAAATTAACACTAGGAGACCTGTCTCATTATCCCTCGAGTATCCACTCTCCACAGACAGAGCACGGAGGACGACCTGTCCAGCAAAATTACTCTAGTCTACCGCATTCCGTCCATCCACCATCATACACAGTACACCTCGTTCAAGCCACCGATCGTCTTGCACAAAGAGAAAAATGTCTGTGTGGTGTGTGTGTGTGTGTGTCGCGAGAGAGAGAGAGAGAGAGAGAGAGAAAGAGAGAGAGACCTGATAACATAGACTTGAGTTGCTGCCGCCTACCCTCCTCCTCCCAACCCAATCAATAGCCAACGCAGCCATCAGTGCAGAAACGATCAGCCAGGAAACGCCCCCTTAAACCCATCCGACAGGTCCATAACATCCTCCTACTACTGACCAGGGTCATTCTCCCATGGAATATTCTTCCCCTCCTTATCGTATGGTCGGCAAGGCACAGGCACCCTACCCCCGTAGTTAGAGACTTAATGTACTGTTATATGTAGTTCCACCTAGTGCTTCCAGAATAAATTAAATGATTCCTCCTAGAACCTTGGGTGTCCACCACCATCGACCAGGGGAGGGATAAAGGGGGGCACAAGGTCAATGCGTCTGCGTAGTGGCTTTCCCATTTTCTTTTTCCCTTCCACCCATGGGCCCCCCTCCTCCTTCATCTCTCGAGAGTAGATGCCCATTTCATTCCAAAACCTATTATGGGGCCTGAGTATCCACGGGCCCTTTAATACAGCTCACTATAGTATGGGTTCGCATACTTCGCTTATGAGTTTAAATAACCATCACTAATAACCATCCAACTATTATATAGATATAGATTACTAATATGTTGAAGGGCTGATGATCTATCTGTTTGACAGTATTGGGAGCTGCAGTGCGTGGTTTCTTCTACCCATTGGGAAAACCAGACAGGCATCTATACAGTTTCCTTAGACTTTGCAGGGCATTTAGATCAAGTGCGTGGAGAGTAGACTTACCTACTGACTACAGCTGAGTACATCGAAAATACTTTCCCCTACTAGTAGTTATCATATGTTGATGAACGGAGAGGGCTAAGTAATTAGCCTGCTATGGTTTCAAGCAACAACATCTGATATTGTTAACACCTGACCTTTTACTTCAGTAGTCACGTAGGTAACTAACTGCTAGTTAGTTAGTTAGTTACACTATGTAGGAATTTCATTCCAGCTTACATCATTTTAACCAGTTACACGGAAACCAACTAAGTAGATAGTTGAGTCTGGATGAGAGACACATGACCCAGCTCATTTCATCATATCACGTTACTTGCTGCAAACTCAAGATACTCCGTCAATAGTCACAATAACTACCTACAAAGTAAAAGAAAACAAGAAGAAACAATATTTGATTAAAACCTGCCCGGTGATATCATCATCATCATCATCCCACCTCACTACTTACCCAACTAACTAATCACCTTACATCTTCCTCCATCAAATAGTCAGTTAGTAGTTCAACAGCGTTTCATCCAGTCAGTATACACTGCAACGCAGCATCTACTGGCTAGTATACACATTTTAGTCAAATCTAAGTAAATCAATAACTAACTTACTTACTTCGTAAAATGCAAGATCACATTCCCACGAAGAATAAATAAATAAAAAGAACCCCCAATAATAAAATTAAACAAAAAAATAGAAAATAAAATCAATTATACGCCCCCCCATCTACTAACGGAGTACTCCGTACACCTTTCTGACCAAACCTCTCCCAAAAGAGAAAAGAAAAGAAAAGAAACAATTAAATTAATTAACTAATTCTCTTATGAAGTAAGCAGTAAAGTAAACCACGGCCCGCAAGCCATTATATCATATAGTCGGTCAAGCCAAAGAAAAAAAAAACCAACCCCCAAATCTCACACCCACTCACCAACTAAACATGACAACACATAATAACAACGACAACAACACAACACAACAACAACACGGCACGGCACAGGACGGCACAACACATTCCCATTTCCCTCCGCTCCGCTTGCTTACTATGTAAGTTAGTATTAATCCAAGATGGCAATAAATGACATGGCCGGCCCTTCCCCCGGGGAAGATCGGATCGGGGGGCCGAAAAAGCAGCAGCAGCACGCGGGACGGCACGGAGGGATTGATTGAATACTAACTACCAACCAACGTAAAAACTAACTAACTAGTTTTGAGAGTCATACCTGTCTAAGTACTAAGCACTAAGTACTAACTGTCAAGGGAAAATATCATCCGGAGGGTTTACTCTAATCGGCGGGTACTAAGACATCATCAATCCCATCATCCATTGGGTTGGGTTGAGTGTAGGGTAGATTCTGCCTTTTTTGGTTACTTTACTTTTTAAGTAAATGCTGGCTGGGCGCGCTTGTCTAGCCGAGCTGGCGGATGGATGGATGGGGTCAATCTGGTGATCCTGCCATGTGCGATGATGTTGATGATGATGTCGATGTCGTGGCTTTTCCCCGGTTTTTCATTTCCCCGGGTCCAACTAACGCAGGCTACGGAGGTTTCTTCCACGGCCATACTGCTGGCATCGGCTTATGTGGCAAATTTGTTCTGCTGATCAAGACATCATGCATGTTCTGTGTTATGTATGTAGGTGAGTATGGCTGCCGCGCCCTACAGATGACGAAGGTAATCGTGCTTCCAAACGCCTGTTCCGGTCCTAGTGTAGGTATTCCTGAAACTCCTAACATACAATCAAACCAACCAACCCATTTGTACAGCAAGTGCTAGGCCGTCGGCCGAATGACCCGGATCATGCAAGAGACGAGGTCGTCTTCCACTGGTACAATGCCCGCAGCACCGCGACACCTCCTGACTGTGTCTCAACAGTGCGTCCGCGGCCACGATCGTTGTAGTCGTTCGGCGCATAATCGCGCTCTGTGAAACCCGACCGCTCGGGTGCAGTTCCCCAGCCCTGCAGCTGTCGTGTGGAATCGAGTCCCAGCGTCTCGTCTTCGCTGGGGCCCTTAGAGCCACGGCTGCGGAGAAGTCCCGTCAGTGCCTCCGAGTCCTCACCCTGCGCCCCATAGTTTTGATAGTCGATCGCCCCCTGCGGCAGAGGACTCACGTCGGTGGCGGTGGTGTTTCCCCACCACTCCCCGATCTTGCCGTCGCCATTCTTGGTCAACAGAGCGGCGTTGGCGTTGTGCTCGATCCAGGGGCGGTATGTTCGGCATCGTGCTTGGTGCCACTCGTATACGTACTGCCAGCCGTCTTCACCGTCCCCTGTGCGGTTGGCACTGGCCAGAAAACGCAATTCCTGCGGCCGGATGTCTCGGCAGAACTCGGCCAAATGATGAAAGAAGATACCTTTGAAGGTTTGTCCATTTTGGGAGCAGCTCCCGGAAGAGTCGCACGCATCTTCCAACACACCTCCGCGGCCAAGCCCTTCCCACTGCTGACTGCCTTTGTCAGGCCATCCGGTAGCCAAGAGCACATCATTGACCAATCGGTGCCCGTCAGATAGATACTGCTGCAAACCGGTAGCTAACCAAAGTCCCCTTAGCCCGCTAAGGATCACTCCCTGGTTGTATGTATATACCATGGTGTTGAGAACATCACATTTGCGCGTGCCAGGATCATCGGCACTCTTCCAACCACTGATATGGAAGCCATCGCCATAGAGACCATTGGCACCCGTCATATTTGAGGCATTTAGCCACGAATATCCCTCGATGGCCGCCTGCAGATGAGTTGGGTCGTGAGGGTAACCGTCTGACCAATTCTCATCGTCCAATGTGGTTCCCATAAAGGGTGAATCAATAAAGTCTCCGGGGAAGTAGAGATACATCCCGATGCTAGCGGCTATGTACAGCTCATTGGTGATGGCATTCTTGTAGGGCGTCAGGTAAGGGCTCCAGATCATCCCGCCATTACACAAGGAAACGTCCCAACCCCCGGACGCAAGACCATAGAACACACGTGCCCGATGAGCCGCCGGAGACTGAAACTGGGTTCCATGCCAGAGGCGTTTTGTTGTCTCGTTGGGTGAGAAGGGGTCATCGTAATGCAGGTCGCTGTGCAGCACTTGGAACTTTATGTTCTCCAGCCAGCCCAAAACAACCCATAGCATGTCATCGAAGGCCTGGTTTCTTACAGCAAAGGCATCCTCACCGAAGTAGAATGCTGAGGTTTGGTCAAAATAATGGTTAATGAGATTCTCGAATCCCAACGAATACTGTTCAGTTATATCTTCCAGCTGTTTGTGATTCCCACTAGCATTCTCTGAAAGGAGGTCCGACAGTACATCCCCCGCCGTAGAAGTCAGTGAGGAGAGGGTGGCGGAGACATGAGTCCCAAGCACGGCAGCAGTCCAATCGATACTAGTAGGCCAAGTGCCTTGCCAAAGCTGGAAGTAGTCATCCTGCATCACATTGAGAGCATCCAGCAAATCGTTGTAAGTGCGGCTTATCGAGCCGATCGGTTCGCTGGGCTTCTCTGGAGCAGGAAGGGGAAGCTGCTTTGACGGGGGATCGGTTGAATCCTCCAGCGGAATCTGCGCATTTGAAGACAATGGCGCAAGGACGTCCTGCGACCGCAACGCCAGCGCATTGGTCTCAGAGAAGACTGCAAGCAAGCAGAGCAACCTATGAATAGCAAGCAACGCACGCATATTGAAGGCTTTCTAGTTGTAAGTCCCTCAAGCCCGCAGTGAATGACTGGTCTCGTGGTCCTGGACCTGGTTCCTGGTAACCCAGGGCGGAGGTACCGATAAGCAAGTGTTGCGAGTAATGATTCGAGGTAACAATACGTGAGGATTGACTTTTAAGCACGCAGAACTCGAGACAGACGCGGGGAGAAAGAGAGCTCAGAAAACCGCCAGCATCCAACGAGCAGCGAGAATCTCATGAGGCATATTTCAACAGTCAATGGTCCCCAGGGCGGGCCATGAACGAGGGAAGGAAGTGGCGTTGAGCGATAAGTTTGACGTTCGGCCGTTGCGGGGAAGGAAAGACCCCCGGGCTTAACTAAGCCAGCCATTCGCCGTGCTTTTCAGCCCTCCGGCTGACTCTCCGCAGCTCAGCTGCTGCCCTCATCCCTTCCAGCCTCGTCCTCTCCACGCTTGATCGTCGGGGTCTCGTTCTTGGTATTCCATCACGCGCCTGGGCTGCGGGGATCTCATGCCCGATTCCTGCCCGCCCCCCATCGACCTTCTGATCGATCCCTCGCAGAGTCTTATATAGTGTGCATCTCACGCACCTCTCTGATGACCAATAGCAGTCATTCGGATCTACAGAACTCTATCTGGACTAAGGGTCTTGGGATGATTGATGTGAGGTCGAAAGACTTGCCCATGTGCTGGACGAAAGGAGAGATCAATAGAGCAGGAATGCTACAAGTATAGCCCCATCCACATGAGCATCATGGGCAGTGGGTTTCATCTGAATTAATCTTGGAACTAGTAGAAATTTTGGGATATCCTGGCTTGATATATCATGCGAGCGAGGTTCTGCTTCAGCTAGGTCAGCGATGAGCATTCGAGCAAGCCACGAGACAGAACAGCAGCGGGGAGTGATGACAGATGTCAAGAGACAGTATCGAAAAGAGGGATGGCAACGGGGAAAGGAAAGGGAAAACCGGGCCGGGATGCCGGAAGAAATAAACTGCACATACCATATCGCTGAGTATTTACGACGCCGGCAAATATCTCCTCTGGCTGCAAGCCTATGAGTACCCTCGTTAGAGGAGCATAAAACTGTTGTAAGAGATATTGCCGGCTGTAACCACTGCTGCTCACGGCGCCCATCCAACCGTGACCAACATGCGCGCATCAAACCGACAGAGTGTCGTCTGAATGGTTCAACAGCCGTGTAGTCCTTGAGGGCGAAAACAAAGGCAAAATCAAAACGCTAGACGCGACGAGGCAAGAGAAAGCAAGATATAAGGTGCCTGCCAAGGTCATAAAGTAGAGTAAACAAAAGTCAACTCCTCAATGCTGCACAACAATACGCTTAGTCTCTAGCCTCCTCCGCTCCAGGGCTGCGACTCCTATCGCGGCTCCTGCTGCGTCCCCGTCCACCACGACCACCTCTTTGTCCAGCATTCTTTCCTTTGTTGTTCGATGGGGGTGGCCGCACAAAGGCGAAGTCGACCTGGATTGTCTGGTCCAGCAATTTGGATCCGTTCAAAGCCTTGATGGCTTCTGAGGCTTCGGGGAGGGTGGAGTATTCAATCAACGCGTAACCCTGAAAGAAGCGGATTAGTATTTCATCTCATGTCCGATAACAGTGCAATTAATCCAAATGAACCTGGGATTCATCCAGCAAAGTCCAAGAATGAAGCCTAGGCAGACGAAGAACCAAAGATACCTACCTTCACATAACCCGTCCGGCGATCGAGGTTCAGATTGAAGTTCTTGATTTCTCCATATTCAGCAAACAGATCCGTCACATCCTCCTCAGAAGCCTCTTCATGAATGTTGGTCGCGATAATAATCCATCCTTCGATACTGCGCACTGCAACAGCTGACGCTTGCGTTCTCGGATCAGAGGTATTGTTGCCCGACTGCGCGGGGACCTCTTCCTCCACCTCCTCCTGCGCCACGGGAGGGTCGACTTCCATTTCTGTAGACATGATGGGAGGGAGGTGAGACTGGATTGACCGAAATTAAAGGCTCGAGAAGGGTGGATAAATGGAGGGATTTTGGTCCAAGGTGGGCTGTTCAATGACCAAACTGTTGCAATGCGATGGATCTTCGCGAAGCTTGCGGTGTGCTTATGTAATCGAATGATATCCAACGACGGTCAATGTTGATGGCCATATTATACTACTCTCAATGCCACGAATAATAGTCGAGATTAATGATCGACAGAACTATGAAATAGGACTTGTGAGTGGAAATTTTCATGTTTGACTAATATGTAGAGGCTTCTCCCGAAAACCTTTCATAGCACTTTCATATACGCAGTACAGTATATTGCACCAATGAACTACTAAGACATAAGAGTAGATTAGCGATTCACAAAACATGGGAATCGCAACATTGAAGAATTTTTAGTTTTGGAAGTTTTTTTAAAGCTCTAGCGACTGAATCAGTTGGGTGTATCGCAGTGAAGATATATGTATACTAAATGCAAGCAGATAGGGTTTACTACTAGTATCTAGATGCTCAATTACTGAAAGATGCAACAATTGCCAACAAAATGCTCATGAAAATGGATCAAGAGCTCAAGGGATACAACAGGCTCAAGCCTAGTAGTAGCTAGCTCGGCTGTAGTTTTCATAACACTGTTCACCTTTTAACAATCAAGTTGCGCCTGCAAATCATGTTGTCCACACAGAAGTTTCTCCTTTTTTCAACTTTCCGTTGCCTCTTCACTGAGTGAATCAGCGTCTAATCATACTTACTAGCGGCATAGTATAGTGCTTGGATTCATTCTCTATGGCCACACTCATCCTTTCGCAGAGACTGATAACATGATGTCGATGAATGGGGTAGATATGAGGGATTTATGGGACTCTCTGTTGAAGACACAGAGAAATCTAAGCCGTAAGACATCCACTGCCATCAATTAAGATACTGACACCAGTAGTACTTTGTAACCATGTCGTGAAATCCCGTGTTCCTGCTGAGGATGGTGTGTTGGATCTAGTCTGAGTAGCTGAGAGCAGATGAAAGAGCTTTCCCCGCGTACTTTTTGCTACTGTAGAAAAAAGAGCTTTGGCTGGATACCAGTGAATTAATGCCAGCTCCTCGACGTGAATTGTGATAAACACAGTGACAACATGAGACCCCGTCCTCAGTCTAGATGCCCCCGTGGCCTTCTTCTCCTTTTTACTTGCTCATTATCATCGATATAGACAGGCTGTTACCCAGATATCGAAAGACACCACCCTTCTCCTCTCAATCTCAGGCGAAACTCTCATTCATTGAGTGATAAAGAGAGACGACGCCGCGATGAGCGGCAAGTCAGTCTCGAATCTACCCTGGTGAGCTCGATTCTCGGCAATTTCCTCTCCATATAAAACAACAATCAGGCCTCTAACGAATGACTATTCTAAATAGCGACGACCCTCAATGCTTCTGCCATTTCCGCTCGCCTAAGCCATATCCCAGAATCGAAGCAGTTCTGACAGGCTCTGCACCCGACCAAGTTCGCGAGCTGCACCATCCAAACGCCAAGCTCGATATAGCATTCGACGTGGTAGGCTGCGTCATGACATTGAACGAATGCATCCACGATCCTTCTCGACCAAAGATCGGCTACTCAGTCAGTCTGATGATCAAGGCGGCAAACACCCACTTCGTGAACCTCGAAGGCCTTGAAGACCACTCCCTCCTTCTAACCATTCGAATCCGCCATTCAGCATGCGCCGTGAGAGGCAACAAGATGATACTGAAGGAAAAGTTCAACGGATACTACCCTGACCCTCCATATAGTCGACTCTACAATGATCTGTTCGAGTGCCGTTGGCCTGAAAAGACGCTCCAGGTTCGTCTGCCTGAGGAGAGATGTCGCCGCTGGAAGACAGTCGCTTTGATATTGAGGACCTTTGGGCAGATCAATGGAGATAGCTATTGTCATATGGCGAATACGATGTTTACTCCTCGCGTGGGTGGGCTTAATGTGCGTCAGATCAAGAAGGATATCAAGATGGAGCTAGCGAAGAGTGATCATAAGCGAAGGGAGAATCCTGTGTCTCCTGAGTACATGGTTACGGTTAACGAACCGGAGAAGATTGAGAGGCTTAATCATGCTTATGAGGTTCATCTTCTTGCGTTTATTCACAGCTCATCTCGATTTCTTCGGTCACAGTACCTGTAGGCTGTCTACCGAGTACGGAGAGAGCTTGTGTGGAGAATTCGTTATGGCAGAATACAGCTTGTGTTTCTCATGATATCGTGGTGAAGCTCGTTGATGGGATTCAGCGTACATAGCTCAGGCGTCTGGCGTCCAGTGGTGCTTTTATTTCCTAGGGATAGGATGATTGGAGATTTGCAATGATGAAATGTATCGGGGTTTGCGCAAGTTGTTAAAGTTTTGCCAGTGATTTTACTTTTACACGAGGTACGATGTCATGAAAAAGAAAGCTATGTGACTTTATGTTCGATGATATGTTTCAATAGCCCAAATATCCACAAGTTTGGCAGTGAGCCTTCCTTATGATATGTTAGAGTAGACTGAAGAAGAAAGAAAGTACGTCTACCTAATTGATTTGATAAGGGAAGTATCAATTAAAGTTCATAGAATGATTGGATATATCCATGATTGGAGCCAACAATGCCTGATTCATGCTTGGGGATGATATGATGTCATTTGTATATTTCTATTAATAGGTGCGAGGGTATCAAGATGTAGGGAGACACTGGAGAACTACAGTCTGGCTTTACGATGGCAGTATATTCTTCCTACGGATAGCTTTGAACGTGTTCATGGTGATAGATTAAGAGTGGAGATTAATTGATTTCCACCTCTAGGTATCGACAAAAGTAAGTTCCATCGGATTTCTCTGTCGCCACGGTCCCTTGTCACCGAGAACGGCGTGGCTGACCCATGACCTCGTTAGCCAAAGGTGCAGACAGATAGTTGTTGCCCTTCCATATACAGGCTGAATTATTTGGTGGAAACCATGCAGCAAATACTAATACAATCGAATTTTCAGAAAGACAAATGCCACTTAGTTCCGAATCATCGTAGTGTCCGAGACCGTGTATATTAGGGTGCTGAGTGCAATGAGATGCTCATGCATTTGGGCACCCTGGCGTTACACCAGGGCGATCATGGAGTTGCAAATGCGAAATGCGTTTACCTCCGGTTGTTCTGGCGCATGCCCAGGATCTGGACCATACGGACGAAGATGTTGATGAAGTCCAACTCAAGGCTGATACTCTCGTTGACGACATCCTTGCGGACCAAGCCTCTCTGAGCCATGCGAGCGTGGTGGAGGATCTTCTGGACATCATAGAGGGTGAAACCACCGAAGACAGCGAGACCACCGTACAGCCAGATCTTCTCAGACCACATCAGAGCGCGGGTGGCAGTAGCGGGGAGAACAAGAGGAGCGAAACCGGAGAGAGCGACAATGGTCACACCAGCGAGCAGAGGAGCACCAAGGTACATGTACTTCTCCTGCTTAGCAGTGGCACCGACGAAAGCGATGGCACCCATCATTCCAGCGGTGTAAAGACCAGCGCGAGCAAGAATAGCCGGGTGCATGAACATCAGGGGAGACAGGAGCGCGGCCTGAGTGACGTTGAAAGCGGCCCAGAGACCATACTTCATGACGTAGCTAGTGATTTGTCAGTAAACTGTCAAATAGAGGAAAAAGAATGCGTTGGTGCAAGTACTTACTTGTCAGGGTTCGTGTACAGAGTACCATACATAGTTCCGACGCTGGCAACCAGACCAAGACCGATGACAGCCCAGGGGCTAGCAGCCATCAAACGGTAAGACCATCCGTTGGTGTGCAGAGCGCGAGCAGCAATACCAATGATACCAATACCAAGTCCAGTGTGCATAAACGTCTCGTTCAGGTAGCTGCGCTCAAACGGAGGCATGCCACCATCCTCTCTGGTTTCGCGGTTGAAGATGAAGTTCGTAGCCAGGATAGTACCACCAATGATGGTGGCGCCGTAGATCAGCTTCTGCGTGATGTTGCCACCCTGAACATTGTAGGAAGGCTGCATGTAGGTGCGACGGAAAGCATTTTGGAAGGTCTGACGGGACTTTGCGAAGATGGAGATGGGACCGGTAGGCTTAGACTGGGGCTTGAAGGGCGTGTTGTGGATGAAACGGGCGCTATTCGCAGGTTTCGAGATTTGCCGAAGCGCCGTAGGAACGGCGAACGGGCGTCGCAAGAAGAACGCCATGATTGTGACGATGATGTCGAGGTTGTTTGAGATGAGGAGAAGCGATGGAGAGCGGCGGATGGCCGGCTATAAGAATGATATCAGTCATCCGTCGGCCAGCCGCTACGGTCGCCCGAACGTTCGAGAAGTGAAGTCACGTGGGTGATGAGCCCGCCGTGAGTCAGCATCACCGCCTCGGCGATAAGTTGGCGGGGGAGGGGAATTATCAGGATTTAGGACTTAACGGACTTGCACGGCCACACTGCTATTGTCATCATCTCGGCCCGGAATTCTACAACTGCGTACTCTCTTCGATTTCCTTCTCGATAATTCCCTTTTGGAATTCACCTCTGCGTCACTATTCCCATCATGTCTGCGCCATTATTAGAAACCATCCAGCTTTCGCATCTGCCTCCGTCGATGCCCGTTCATGTCGCTCTATATCGGGATGTGCAGAATGCTCCGTATCTTCGCCAGCAGCTCATGTCCGCCAATGCAGAATTCGAGTACGCTTTCATTGATGCAAGCACGGTACGAAGTCAGTATGTATCTCGGCGGAGCGACAGCTAAACATACTGCAGGTCCTCTCAAGAACACACCTACTCTCCGCGGTTTTCAGAGCAGTCAATGATTATATGAACGGCCGTCTCAAGTCCCGGAACGTACACTCTGAGATGGTCTTTTCGCTAAGTCCTGCGACAAATGTACGTCTACAATTAGCTATTAACCGACCTCATGGGCAATGCTGACCACATCTAGATTGCTGAATCTTTCCGCAAGTTCGGCATTACCGATTCCACAAAAGACTTGCTAGTAGTCAAGCTTTCCGTGACTCCGGAGATTACCCACGACTCGGTCGCAGCCCATCTCGGACAAAATGTTGAGGGAACGCCTGTACCATTCGACGACGAAACTCTGTCGAAGATCTCCGATATTGCAAAGATCAAGAAGGCTTACAAGTTGGGGGCGTTGAACACTGCGCCGGCAAATCAAGCAAACGGCACCCAGGATAATGGCATGCGCCGGCTCGAACTGTCCGTTCTGGGAGCGATCGCTCTGCGGGGAGCGACTTGAACATGATCTTGGGTATAAGAAGTTTATATCATACCAGATCTCGCTCGTTTGGGTAACCAGAGCCCTGTAAATCGGGCCAGCCACATGCAGGATGTCTGCACCATCCGACAGTCAGAACTCCTGGCTGATGCCGTTCGAAGCATTTGCGCCCAGGAGCTACCTCTGTGCAGATAGTTGTCTGGCAAGAAATACCCATGCAAGATATGTCTATAAGAATCAGGATCTGTACATAGAACGCAGGGCCGTCATTCACAGAGTCAGTGCGGAGCACTGATTGCGGCTCTTGTCTACACAAAAATAATACTTTAGAAGATGCTATATGCTCTATATTCCATTCTATATATAATCCAAGTAATACATCCCCTCAATGAAAAAACGAAGAACATACCTCGGTTGCCCTGCCCACCGCATCCTCCATCCCAAAGCGGCAATCATGCAACTTTGCCAAGCCCGGCAACTCTCTCCGCATCATCGCGACTGACTTGATCTAGACACCCACCGTTCGGGGCTCACGCATATAGCATAACACCATGCTCACTAGCGCAGGGGAGAATCATTTTTAGCGTACAACACTCACCAACCCGAACGCGCGCTAATGTCGACCGAACGATCTTCCTGATATTTGTCGTGCCTCGCCACCATGTCCGCCACCGCGGAGGTCCTGGTACTTTCCTCCTCGCCGGAGCGCAATCCAGTCCATACGCCAGCACCGCCTGCATATGACCCCGAAAAGTTATTCGGGCTGTCTCCGGTAGACTTTGAAACGACTCCGATACCGTCCCCTTCCGAGTTGTTTTGTCCTCCGACGCATTCTAGGTTTTTCGAGGTTGAGAATCAAGTCGACGAATCGCGCCGCAAGGAATCCCGCAAGAATTCCAGCAACTTGACGAATGATGAATCGGCTGTTATAATGCTAGAGGGGGAACCAGCGGCAGATAAACCGAAGCGAAGGGGTAGGCCAAAGAAGGAGCAGAAAAAGGAGGAGACGGGGTCTCTCGCGGGTACCGAGAAGACTACTGCGAAGAAGACTACAACAGGTGCGAGTAAGAAACGCGCTGAATTTGCGACGAAGCGCTCGAAGCCGGCAAATAAGACGATCTCTGGGAGGGTTGCGAAGGCAGGCAGTTTGCAACCTAAGGAGGCTGGCGAGAAGGCCATTTACCCGTCGACGCCACCGGCTGCTCTGTTTCAGAAGACTACAAAGGATGTGCTTGATTGGGAAAGGGATGGTTTACAGCTTGAACAAGCGATGACGCGGAGATTGGACTGGACACCTACAACAAATAAGGCTAAGGAAGTCGTTCAGTTGGAAGGGAAGTTAGGGCCAGATGATACTACGAGGGGCTTTGGTAACCTGTTGTCAGAGTATGGATTTAATGGGTCTGCTGCTCCAGCAAGCGACTATATGCCTTCTGATAATGGTGGGCCGACTAAACGAAGGCGTATAGAACTGGTTGATTCCGGAGTATACCCTGGTCCCAGACAAAGTGTTGCCGACGATAGTGAGAGGGCTAGCACGGAAGGAACCCGCAAGTCAACACCAGCCGCGCGAAAGAAGCCCACGCAGCGTGCCAAGAAATTTACCACACTCACTGCCCGCGTGACAGCGAAGTATATCAACGAGTCTACAGAGGGTTCAGATGTCGTGGAGGAAGAGACACCGAAAACGAAGCCTAGAGCTTCAAGATCTAAGAAAAAGGGCCAGGAACCCGAGTTTGTGGTGCTTTCCCCCGAAGAAGCTGCCAAATCCCTCGATGATCAGGAGCTGGTATTTGGCACGTGCAGCCAGCTGGAGCGAGAAGACTCACCCACTACTATAAGAGAGCTGCAGGCAGCTATTAGCGAGTCGGAACGGAGCATGACATTGGAAGCCAGTGGTCGTCCGCATCGGACGCAGAGCAG